TTTTTTTTTTGAATACTTTTAAAAAGGTAGAGATTTTTCTTGACATAATTTTTTTTAAGGAATTACTTTAATTTTGTTTAAAATAATCGGGTTTTCGAGATGTAATTGGAAAAGTTATCTTGTAAATCTTGCGATAATATTTTCATAGCATAGCGATTTCAATGCTGCGTCACATCGATAATGGTATTGAACGTGAAGACGATGATAACGCTTATTTTACATTTCGCTTGCGAGCAGGGCAGTTGTCTTTCTAATACAACAGACTCAATAAGTGAATTTTTTTCTAGCGTATGATAATTGTATTCTTGGCGTACATCAAAAAGCCGTTAACTTAATCGAACAGCGTCGCTCCTTCGGAACTTTCACGGATTGATCGCGATCGATCCGCTGTAAGGTTATCATCGTTATCTCTACGATCGATTGGTCGCAGATACGACTCTTAGTTGCCGTGCATTATTCCGAACGAGGCCGTTCGATCTGCCGCGAGAGTTGTAAAGCAAGATAAAGAAATCGATGATCACGGAGTTACGAGCAGATCCGATACCATAATGTATCTGGCTAAGTGGTATTAACGCTATACAGATTTACGATTATGCTTGAGTAATATGAAAATTACTAGTTACTCGCATCCGTTCATCTTCGTGTCAGTAGCGTCTATATGCTGACATCGTATTAAAAATAGATTTGTGTTTAAACGCTTACACATCATTTTTTTCTATTAAATTTTTAATATAGAAAAAATTTTAATATGTGTACAATAATAAAAATATGATTTATGTTATGTATAGTATTTGCTGATAGAGAAATATAGACAGTCTAGATGAAATGGCTTTATCTTCAACGTATATTATCTTCATTTGTATCTTAGATAAAAAGCGTTACTTTTTTCAAATTATTTAAAATGAAGATCTAATCATCCAGATAATTTGAAAAAAGAAAACACATTTGTAAGATACAGATGAAGATAATATATTATACATATATTCCAGTAAAGATAAGATGAAGTCATTTAATCTTACTTATCTAGATATCAGTAAACACTATAATTTTCTGTAATTTTAAAAGTTTTATTTGTAATACATGACTTTTTTCAATTGTTTCAAAAAATGTTTTTGAAAATTATATATTTATGTGGGATCATTTCGTAAAAGATCCTAATGTTTCTTCTAATTTTCCATAATAAAAGCATTTATTGTTTAATATTAACGAACTTGGAGGAAGCGTTGAACATGATAATTGCAGTTGAATTTAAAATTAAATAAAAATAGTTTGAGTGTTCCAAGCGAAGAGAGAAGAATTAAGTAATTCTGATTTAATTCCAGTAATTCACATAAAAAATCGAAGAAAATATTTGATGCAAATTTTTCTCTTAGTGTAATTCCTATGAAAACCTTTTATCAAATATAAGAGATAATATATTGAATATTATAAAATTATTTTGTTAGAGTCAATTTTCAAATTACGATGACGGACTCGTATCTTCAAGCAAAGAGGTGGCATGCTTGCACAGAATTGCACTTCGCCTTGTCACGTTTTACACTCTCGTTCGGGACCGTGGCATCATCGGCACCGCGGTAATAGCGCGAATAAATACGGACGATTATACTACGTGATGTGAGATGGTAGCGTACCAACTTGATTTCAGTTGGCGGCTAACGGTCTTTTTCGACGATCGAACAACGAAGCGGGCAAACGAGCGTGTGAGTGCGCCTTGATCCGCGCCGCTGGCCGCGCTTAGAGGTGTCCGATTTCAGCAGCCGCGTTTATCGCTCGCGGCGTACAGACGCGATGGGAATGGTGCCTCTTCGGTCGGCATTCTCTACCCTCGAAAGAAACACCGGGCTTACGATCGAGGCCTATCAGCGACTGTCGTATCTCTGTAGAGTTCGATATTTCGCCTCTTCGGCCGAGGGACGCGATCCGAGTGATTCATTACGCAAAGAAGCCACGGGAGCCGAAGGGGTTAAGCGATTACTTAGCCATTCTTCGGAGTTTAATCGAGAGTACGTAATAACGGTACGTTGGCATAGAACGGTGCAACTTGGCGCTCTCTTTCTCTCTCTTTCTATCTTTCTGTGTGGCGAAGTGGCACGTTCTCGGCTACCATTCATTCAGCCTGTTGAAAGATACACTAGCTTATTGAAATCAGTTTCATGAAATATAATGATTTGCAAAATCAACCATGATCTTTGATCAATTCTAAAAATGGTCACACCGATAATTTCTCAAGAACAAAATTGAGAATTTATCAGATATTTTATCGTCTTCCAAAGCAATTGTAAATTTCTTTGAAATAGTTTAAAATATAGATAAAGTAAATAAAAGTAAAAAAAAAAATAGAGTGTAAGGTATTATAGAGTTATAGCATAATTATTAAAGACCGATAATTTGAAAATAATAATGCAATTCTTTCTACTTACTGTACCAAAGTTTTCGATTGATAATGTTACAATTTTGCCTGCATTTATTTTATATGGTTCTACTCATAATTAAAAGAAGAAGGTTTCGACATCTCTTCGAAGTATAATACCACTTTCCTCTACAACTGTAATGCACAGCAAAATTTGTGTATTATTTCACATATAATAATCAACAATAAGACAGAAAAAGTCTGCATTCTTATATAAATTCGCATGGAACAATACTATAATCTAACAGAAGCTGTGCTTGCCAGAATTGTAGAAAGACGTGAATAAGTTGCGCAATATAAAGAGTCATAGGTCCTATTATCTCCCTAATACCTTCGGTATACTGATTATTGCTGTTATTGTACCTTCTATCATCTCATCGATATTCGGGACAATTATTAGATACACTAACTATATTAGGATCGATATTATGCAACATTAATACATCAAAGTTTTCATCAAAAGAAAAAAAAAATTATAATGACTAATTCGTTTGCAAGGACATAAATACTCGTATAATTAATCGTGAATTATTTTTCCGTAAGCGTTTTATCTCGGGTACAGAATACTAGGGCTGAATATAAATGTTGGTATAAAGTGTATGTATCGTCGCGAAGACTTTGGTACAGCCATATGCCTGATACAATCATAAAGGTTCTACAGATAAGATATCGACTTTTCCAAATGTCTTTCTTGTCACTCATTTTGCGGAACACTAATATTACGATCTATCAACAATTGTGACCATTTATCCGCGCGGTGAATTACAGAAGCTTACTTATTGATTCCTTCTGACATGGCAAAAATAGCACAGAAATTATGCTTGAGAGTAAGTGTGCAATTACAGTAAACCCTTTCTCTCTCGCGTTTGTAAAGTTCTTTTATCATTTCTCTTTGAAGATTGAATTAGTTTTACTTTCTCATAACAGTACTGTGTAACATTCATCAAACCGTATTTCGAGCGTAATATATAATGAGCGCATCAAACAGTCTTGTCCCTTTTGATTTTAGAAAAAAATTTTATTTGTATTCTTGAATTATTCGAAGAAAAGAAATGGAAATATCTGTGAGAATGTTTAAAATTTATAAAATTGTATTTAAGTGAAATTGATTTCTGATAAGGACAGAAATATTAATTATGCATTTTAAAATTTCATATATTTATTATAAATATAAAAGGTAAAAAAAAGTTGACAAACAAATTTTGTATATGGAAAAAACGATTTTACTAAAATATCTAAAAATTTAGTTAGATACTCGTACAAATCTGAAAATAATTTTGTTGGATTATTTAAATAGAAGTAGTAATCTCAACTATGATGCTGCGAAAAGTTTTGACAGTTTAGCAATCAACTTTGGGTATCCTACGTAATTATTTCGGTAGTCCAATAAAACTATTTTTAGATCTATTTTTAGCTAAATTAGAGATATAAATAGATACTTTAGCAAAATCATCCTTTCTATATATTATATTGAAAGATGTTTTAATATTATAACATAGTGAATTCATTTTAATTAATACAATTACAAAAAAATTAGATTAAATGAAATATTTAAATAAATTCTCTCTAATTGAAATTATTATAAATGGTTCAATTAAAATTTCTGTATTAAAAAATTTTTGGAGTAAATTTTTTTAGAGAATTTTTGACAATGTGCATTAAAAGTAAATATCTGATTTCTTCTATATTTAAACATTTTTGTATTTAAGAATGAAAATTGTTAGATAGATTAGGTAGATCACAACGCGATGGGAGGAGTCGGATAGGATTGAAAGTAGGTTGCGTCACGAATACTCCGAATTACAAGCGCAGCGCGGCGCAAGTGAGATCAAGGGAGACGTTACACAGATTTAATACATTGTGTGTATACATATAATATATATATATGTATATAGTATGTATAAATATATCTATATATATTATAAATATTATATATATATATATATATATATATATATATAATATATATATATATATATATATGTATGTAGACGGTAAGCCACGCGAAAAGAGGCTGTGGGAAAGATAGCATCCGCTATGCGAGATCTCCCGTTGCCGTGTTTACGAGGATGCCCCCTTGGCGGCTCTAGACCTCGCGGCCAACCTTCGTCCTCCTTTATCACCGGTCTCGGATTAGCCGCCGTCGTGGGTCGCAGATTCGCCGATTTCGATCTAAACTCGATTACTTAGAAGATGGATTGATTGACGAAATATTTACGTGGTTACCAATGTTGAGAAACGTTTCCGTGCCGTTAATCGTTCATATTATGCGTTTTCAAAGGCGAAGGAAAGTGGATAGTATTTTGTATTACTTATCACACTTGAAAGTTATTGATGTTTTAGTATGTTAATTGGAAATGATTGATTTTACACGTCAAAGAGTATATACAGAGTATATATTTCTCTTTTAATGCTGTATAATTATCAAAATATATACAATTTTAACAAACATTGTTAAGTAATATCAAACAATTGACTATCTCAAAATTAGTAACTGTTATTTGAAACAAAGTAGTCAGGTTGATTTACTTTTTGAGATGTTACAAAATATGAATGTTGCAAGAATATAAAAATGTTGTATTTTTTTCAGGATGGAGACTTTTCAAGAAGCTGGTGTTCAAATGCTAAAGGAATTCAGAGCTTTGTTGCAGCACTCGCCACTACCGCTTCCTGGTACTCGTTTACTTCAGCTCTTGGCGCTGAACATGTTCGCGATTGAGACCACGCAGCTGAAGGGTAAGTCAAAATGCCAGAACTTTTTTCATATATCCTTTAAAATATTCCGAATAATTTTACTTACATTTATAAAACATTGTGATACACAGTCTTTACTAATTGTACGAATATCTACAAATGTTTTAATTATTAAAGGAGAAATGAAAATTTTTAACTGTTTTTATACAGTAAGTATGTATATATATATATAAGTATAGTAAAGTATATTTAATATACATTTTGTTACATTAATATTTCTTGCATATTTCAAATTAAGTCTATGTTTTGTGCTGAGATAATTTGCGACGTGCGACCGCATTATTAATTCGTGCGTATACAGAATTATATATGAAGATTCACGTTTTTGTATAGATTTATCGTTCTTTTGATCGTTAAATAATTTCTTTTAAGACTTTATTTATGACAGAACAAAATTAACTGTCAAATAAGCCGGTTGTATCCGTTATTAACGTCAATTTCTCTCACGAATTTTTTCTTTGAAGGCTACTAAATGCAACTTAGACTAGAAAACGTATCATCTCGTCAGAAATACTCACCAAGTCGAGCCGGTCACCATCTTTTTAAATACATACATTATGCATGATGCATGTTTAATTCGTATATAAATTTTATGGACTTCGATAAAATTGCAAATATATATTTCCATACGCTATACTTTATAATTTATGCAGTCTAGATTTTTATTTCACAGAAGTGACTTTTGTTTGTGTTAGAAATTTTGATTTTAAATTAAGTTGAAGCTTTCTTTTTAAAACATTCTAAGATAAAGTATATATGCAAGGGAGGGAGACGATTTGCTACAAACGAAAAGGATTATAAAATTTAATTGTCATTGTAAATTTGTTTGATATTTATGGTAAACAAATTTGTATATTTGATAAATATTTTGTATTTACTATAAATAATTTTTATAGCGAGTACGCACGAAAAAAAAGCAAATATTTGTTACATCCGCAAATAATTTGCGGTCCCTATATTCGCAAATGAAATTTACCGTTATGGCATAGGATTAGCATTCATAGCAATTTTTTTTTCTCCGTATATATATGTGTGTATACACACATTAAAAAAATATGTTAATCGATCAGAAGTCTATATTAATATAACAGTATATTAATCAAAAGGGATTTATTAAATGTTATACATATTGAGACTGAGAAATTTTTTATTGCGATTTTGCTAGGTCAGTTTGTGTCATGAGATGCATTCTGTTGGGATGACTTGTTTTCCGCTTTAGCTTGTCATCGACAAGATCGGTGATATGAATATATATCCGGAGATATATCCGGTTTGGGGTAGATGTTTTCTTCCTTCGACAATGACTCATGGCTGCTCGTCCAAGAGAGCACGAGCATCATGACAGCAACGAGCGTTCTCCGAGTTTTTGCACCTGCGTGCAGGTGCTAGTCCTATATAATTATCACTAATTTCTATACGAGAGCGAAACCCCGCTTGCTTGAGGTTTCGCTCTTCTCAGAATGGAACCTAGCCTGAGTCATCAAAGCACGTTCTATCTTTTGCTGCTCTATTTCCGAGGTAAAACTGTCCGCTCGAATCCTTTGCACCTGCTCGGATGCTTCTTCGCCCGAGTTTAACTGCGCAAAGTTGCGCCCCAAGTAGCTGATGTTTTTTATCGCGATGATAACGTAACTTTAGTAATATCGCCTTTTTAGTTTCGGAAGATAAATTGATCTTTAAGCCACGAAGTAATGGGAAGAACATATATTTGCATTTTGCGAGGCATGTTGAATTTATAATACTTTGTATATTATATAGACTTCAAATTACTGTGGTTGACTTTTATCCTTTTGATTTTACTTATAATATTATAATTTATAGGATGAATATTATAGACCTAATAAATTAAATTTTTGATTGTGTGGATATCTGTAAAGAACTGAGATATAGTAAATGAAAGAAAGGTTATAAATCAGAAATTCATTTACTAATATTAGTAATAGAGAATAATGAAGACTTTATCGTTGAAGAAAAGTTGGCTTAGAATGAATGCAAATTTTCGAGCGATATTATGGTGTTTTAGTATTTGAATTTTTAAGCAGGCGTTACCATCACGTGTGCGCTACACCTGCAACGTCGCAATATTGCACGTGCGTTAATCTCTAGTGGCTTTCTTCTAGCGTATAAGCTTCGCGGTTGAATACTTTGGATGACAGTAATGACGGTCATGCGTGAAATTTTCCGTGGACACAAGAATAGAGTATAGCTTGAGTATAAACTCGTAACTTGTATCGCACGATTATTTCGATCAAAAAGAAGAACATTCTCTGCATAAGTCTCTGTACAAGTGGATTTATTTATTAATGCAAAATCAGAGTTTTGAATAGAAATAATTTAACTAAAGAATGATAAATATATTATCTCACAAGAACACGTGAATCTTATGTAATTCTATATATACGAATTGATCATGCGGTCGCAAATTATTTAGGCATATAAAACATACACTATTAAAAATGTTATGAAATTTGTACTTTTAAGTTACACAAGTTAAATTTAATTTAAAAGCATTACATTAATGTATTTGTAACTGAAAAGTATAATTTATGTACATGTGTATGAAATTTAGTATACTTTTCATAAAATTTTATGTGGATTTGTTTGAAATTTAATAATGCACGTAAACGTCAAATTCAAGTTACTTGTAACTTCATTGACAACATTAAATGTTTTTAATGTATCTGCTTGAAATTTCGTTATAATACAATACATATGCTGTTTTTCAAACAATTAAACTTAATTTGAAAAGTTGTATAATGAAAGAAATATTACTCATTCGATAATTTCTTATTTCGTACGTATTGGAAACATTTTTGGAAATGTTCGTATGATATGACATGTATATATATGAATATTTAAGGTCGCATCGATAAAATATGTCCGTTTCTTTCCGGCTTAATTGTATACTTACTTGTCTATCGAGAATCTTTTTGATGACCTTGTCTTCGGCATAACGATGCCTCCATCAGCCAGTCAATAATTGAAAAATCGTAAACACTGTCGGTAATGAACCATTGAGTTTATGCAACCGTGTCGACACTGTCTGCGGTTGTCCGTAGAGGAATGTCAGGTCCCGCCTTCATCATCCTTAAACCGCCGCGACACATCCCTGCGGTTTGCTCTCCCGAATCGGCTTTCTCTTTACGTATGGACGATACGCCATGGATTGAGGTGAATATACGGCACTCTGTCTCTATGACGTCTTATTTTATATATGAGAAGCATAATAGAAGCAGATAAAGGTGTATCGCAAAATTACATGTTAAAGGAGAACGAAAATGTATTCGAAATTTTTTTCAAAATTTACAGATATATAATTCGTTTCTTCTCTCTCTCATCTTTTATCAATTATTACTCTTAAATCTCCTTTGATAGAGTTATTTGATTAATTCGTCCCTTTAAGCGTGGTAATTCCACGATAAATATAATTGACGCGTTAGAAAGGCGAAATCGGAAGCAGAGGAAGTGAATGATTCGATCTCGGACTGACTATTTCACCGCGAGAAGATTGCTCCATCGAAAGAGGTAAACGACCTTCTTCATCCGCGGGTATATATGCCTATATCGAAATAGGATCCAATTACCAATCAAGCACAGGATCTAAGAAATCATCCTTGCCGGTGGATTATAGGATAGTCACTCTCGTAATCGTCGCCTTCGACGTTTCATTCGTCTTTCGTTCGCGGCTCACTCTCTCGCCCTCTTGTTCTACACCTAGTACCTCGTCGACGATTTATCCTCTCGCGCGAATATGTTCCCTTGATCGTGTGCTGCGTGCTTTCTTTCGCATTTATATTACGTATATTAAGCGCCGTCGACAGAAATCTTGGAAAGTCTCTTATACTTGCGCGTTTGATTTTTTGAATGATACCACAAACGTTATCTGTACGATTCTCAGAATATTGCGTATCGGAAAACGCCGCTAGATCATTTCACGCGGGCAGCACGGTGCACGCGTATGCGGGGGAACGAATGCAGAGCCGGGAGACCCCGGGGCCACCCGAAGAATCGCATAAAGCCAAGGCTAATGTCCCTAATGTCTATAATCTTGGATCATCTGCATCCGAGCTACAGCCTGGCTTGGTCTCGCGTATCTTAAATCCTTCCACGTACTACTACCTGCCCTACTGGAACACCTATAAATATGGGTACACATTCTCTTTCCCGCCTACCGCGTATTGGTGTTATTAAATTGTTTCATTGTTTTATCTCTTTCCTTCTTTTCCCCGTTTTGCACTGAATCGGTCACGCTTCCGTTTATCGTTGTAGGTTTGCACGGTATAATCGAAATTTTCGGTTTGACCGTTTAGGTATGGGTGGTCCATACATATTATTACAGGATGGTTTATTTTAATCAAGTACTGGAATATCTCAAGTCTTGTCTCTAATGTTTGCGAGCAACTTTTGTCTGAAAAATGTTTGCTTTAAACTTGAGGATTTTGAAATATTCTAGTGAATTGATTAAAACAAATCATCATACTTCGTTTTGAAGAAACTCTTTCAAGAAAATATATTACCTTACGAAAAATATAATGAAATAAAATTCTTGAACATTCTTATTTCAATCTGCTTTATCTCAGTCTTTGAAATTTAAATGATTATTCGGTATGTGTGGCGGGCGAATATTGAACGAGAGTAGACTTAAATCTGCTCTCGTTCCATATTCGTCCATGACAGAGAGCATTGAGACACGCACTAAATAACCATTTATATTTCAAAGATGGAATAACTTAAAGTGTTAAAAATTTTTATTTTATTTTATATTTTGCAGGGAAATATATTTCCTTCACAGAATTTCTTTTTCGAAAAAAGACATACTTAAATGCTACTATATCACGGATCTAGGAATCGCCGTGCAATTTCCGATAAAGAAAATGTCGTGATATGCCAAGCGCGCGTGCCCGAATCTGAAGTTATTTCGCTGAACGAAGTTTCGCGGATGGGCAACCGTGGGCACGGCGAAGGGAATCGCTTCTCGGAAA